CCATCCGTCCATCGGATACGGTTACACTAAATCGGTATTATGAAGTAGAGTTTAATTAATTATTGAGGAAAGGTTTTAAGTTCGCATAAGTCTAAATTTAAAATATATTCATGTTAGATTAAATAAAATAAAATAAAAAACATTTAATCGCCTATGAAAAACAAAAACAACATTATCTTTCTCCACTAAATCCAAGATCTTAAGCAATTAAAATTTATTAATATAAAATAATTTATTTAAGTATCTTAATAAGATGTAACCTTTCACATAATACAACATAATTACACAGATGAACACTTATATTATTTTGTTTTTCAATTTTACTTAGAAGTGTCGTTTATTTATTCATTATACGTATTATTATACATTATTAAATAAATATGGGTAAAATATCTTTTTCATTGCCTATTTCTCTTTATTTCTTTGTGAAACTCTGCGCGTCTTATATACTCAAAGACAAAAACCGGACAATTTTATTTATTTATTTCCATAATAACTACGTATAAAGATTAATAATTGATTAATCTTTTTAGGTTGAAATGAAAAAGCTAGTATCATGAGCGGGATTCGAACCCACGGCTAAATACGCCACTGCTCTACCACTTGAGTTAGCGTGACGTTCTTGTGATCCTTACACACTTTACATAAAGATTAATTAGTTGAAAGAAGTTATTTGGTCAATCGGACTGCGAAAAATAATGGGTTCATTAAGTTAAACGAAGTATCTCTTATCCCTAATATCTCGCTTCTTTCCTCCTCCCGCTCTCTTACTTTCCATTTCACCCATCATGCTTTTTCATTATAAAGTATTTTCTTCCCCCCTCCCCCCCTCTCTCTCTCTCCCTATCTCTCCCTCTCCTCACTCACTCACTCTCTCTTTCCTTTTGAAAATAGAAGACAATAAAAAACTCAAGTGATAGAGTAGCGGCGTATGTAGGCGAAGGTCGTGGGTTCGAATCCCGCTCGTGACACTGACTGTTTTTATCTCAACCAATACCTTATATAAAGATTAATTAATTGAAAGAAGTTATTTGGTCAATCGGATCATGAACTCTAATGGATTTAATAAAATGAAGTATATCTTCATTAATGCTCTCCGTGGCCATTTTATTTGTCGCCGAGAATCGAACCTGATTACAAGACATTTGAAAAACGTCAGAAAGGAGGGAAAATTCGAATGGTGGGTTGAGATGGGAAGTTGGTCCGAGCGGATCGAAGTCACGATAGCTCAAGTATTAGAGCAGCGGCGTATTTAGCCGAAGGTCGTGGGTTCGAACCCCGCTCGTGACACTAGCTTTTTCATTTCAACCAACACCTTACATAAAAAGATTAAGGAATTGAAAGAAGTTATTTGGTCAATCGGGCCACGAAATATAATGGATTATTTTTTCTTTTTCCTCAATTAAGTACAAAGATTGTCAAGTTAAGATGTTGATAATGTATCTTTACAACTGTCCGTTATGTTTATAATGTTAAATCCTTAATATTGTTGGTTACAACTACTATCTATTGTTAGTTTTTTCTCCTGATAGAAGTTATGTTTGTACTAGTTAAAGATTACTTTTTATTTTGAATGCGTTAATCCACTGTAAACAAGTAAGTTTGTAAGAGATAATTAATTTGTTCAACTTTTTGTGTAGATTGAGTAGAGATTAAAAAATTATTTTGTTGAAATTTCACTTTAGGTGTAAGAGTGGTCTTAGAGACCAAAACTTGAGTGATTGTTAAATAAAGCGATAAACACGCCGCTGGTCTAACCACTCGAGCTAGACTTCGATGACTTCGATCCACTCGGACACCAACTCCCCATCCCGACCTATAACCTTTCGAATTTTCCCTCCTTTTTGCCATTTTTCGAATCCCGCTCGTGACACTAGTTTTTTTCATTTCAACCAAAACCTTACATAAAAAGATTAATTAATTGAAAGAAGTAATTTGGTCAATCAGGCTAAATATAATGGATTTAATCAATAAATTGAATTCAAACGAAAACACAACATTAATAAGTTTTGTTTACGTTTACTGTGTGCCTTCCTTTAATCCTTTTACACTCTTTAAATTAGAAATAAGAAAATCAGTTAATTTTCATACGATCCAATCCAGCTTGTCGAGTTAGCTGGTTTTTTAAAATTATTTTCTTCGATGAAACAATAAATTTGAGTAAAAATTATCTTTTTCTTTTTAAAAAGCGTATTTTAAGTCTAGAAGATCTCGCTTGAGCAGATGCTTTGGCCAACGACGGAAGTAGCGTCCGTTACATAGCCAAAGTCCTTAGTGTGCCGCGCTGAACCATCCACGACCGTCTACAGCGGTTTATGGCTTTGATGTGTACAGCTAAAGACGATCATTTTATTGCTCTTCCTGCACAACTAGTCATTTAACGGCTTGATAGGTAGTCAACTCCAAAAGTTCCGCATTGTATGGGGAAGCTCTAAAACTATCATAATATTTTTTCATAGTCTCTACATCCGGTAGGTTCTCCACTGCTGGAGAGGTATCGAGCAGAAATGTGACTCTCTTCACAGATGGTGGATGTTTGTGACCCAGCCAGTTATGGTATGGGGTGGAATCAGCGTTTGATTATCATATAAAACCTATATCTGACTCCACTAAGGTACATTGATAAAGTTCTTCTGGAAGAGTTGGTTCCATTAGCTCCATTTGTTCCGGACAACCTGTTTACGTTCGATTTGTCACCGATTACGTGAGGATGTAGGGATTACCACATTGAATTAGCTAGCACGTTCTCCTGACATGAATCCTGTAGAACACTTATGCGACATGGTAAAGACGGATTATTCATTGTTGAATAATTGTGTCGTTATAAATTAGTTTCGTAATTGAATAACTTAGGGATTTAAGGTAATAATAAAGTAATAATTTAATAATAGTATGAGAAAGGTATATTATGCACCTTTAGTATAATTATTTCTACCATCTTCAGTATAATTATTATTATACCTACTATTATTATAATTAGTATATCATACTCGTTTCTGTTTGTGATCTTCTTTTCGGAATGTCAAGTTAAGCTTGGATGTTTTGTGTGAGTTGGCAACGTTTAAAGTTTATTCAGAAATCGGGGTCAATTTAGCATTTTAACGTAACTGAAGTGAAACGAAGCGGAGGGTAATTTTGAATAATGAAATGAACGTTGCACAAACATACATGTACTTAAATGTCATTCCGGGACTTAACAATGATAAAAGCACCCTTTTTGGCAGCAAGTGAACTGTATCGAAATAATTCAAGATGAAATGGGAAACTACCGGGGCGCATTGTTCTCATCCATTACCGAGAAAGTTTCCAAGGTAGACCGTACAACCCCCAGACGCTAAAGTCAAGTTCGTACACCCGAGTGTTAAGTATAAACAAACACACAGGGATATTAATCACTTTCCCCTCTGATTAACACAATTTGGTTCTGTTTTAACTTTGAATAAGTTTGACAAGGTCTGTTTTGGACGTAATTTTGACAAGAGGGATCCAAATACTTGTCTCCGAAGCCGAAATAATTGATTATTCTCAGTTGTGATGTGAAAACCGCGGTGGCAAGGATGATGCAATCCCGTTTGAAAAGGGCGTGAGGCCTTCGAGTTCACCGTCGCCGCCTTGGCCGTTACTCGGAAGCCAAAAATTCAACTATTTCATCTTCAGTCAAAAATTATTATTGAATAACTAGAAACACGGACAAACACACTAGGTAAATTATTGTTTAACCCTAACAATATATTTCACTTTACCACAGCTGTGAAATTATCTTTTAACATAAAGCTTTTAATACTGTAGAAAAACTACGGGAAAACGCATAAATAAATAAAATGGACGATAAACACGGGAATGGAATTACTCCCCGCATGAAAATGTTATTAGTTAAACACATTGTTTGTGTAATTTTCGTCGAAATTTAACAAGCTGGCGGAGAGATTATTTTTTTAAGTTAAATAGCCAAAATTGCCTTATAGCCAAACTGAACTAAAAGGCAATCATGTACAGCTGGCTTTTAAAAAAATAAACAAAAAGGCTTCCCTTTATTTGAAAACGCTTTGTGGGGAAATGTGTACAGGGTCGGAAACGAACAATTGCAGAATAATCGCTTAAAGCCTTGCAAGTTTTTACAAAACGTTACAAACACCGCCAACTTTTCGGTGTAACATGTTTTATTTATTTTGATACGATTCAAAAATGTCGACTCTCGGGGGGGGGGAGAAAATAAAATAAACGTTTTCCACGGAATACGCGCTTTCTCGTAATTTTCCGGTAAAAGAATACGATGAAAAAGAACTCTTTGATTTCCCCCTTAAGAATTAATTTCTCGGTAAATGCTTAATTAATTATGTAATACTAATTTAAAAAGTTAGGGTGATTAAGAAATTAAATGAAAATTAAAAGGGTTAGAGATAAGAAAATAGATATATAGGGATAGGAAGATAGTTAATGGGACAAACAAAAGTAGAATTGATATATAAATGCAAACATTGATATATAGATGAATTAGGGAGAGAGGAGAAAAGAGTAAAAAGAAAGAGAAAGAGTGATATCGACAGATAGAGATAGTTAGATAGACAGACAGATTGATAGCTGGATGCATAGAGATAGTTAGATAGATAGATAGTGATATATAGATAGAGAGAGAGAGAGAGAGAGAGAGAGAGAGAGAGAAAGAGAAAGAGAGAGAGAGAGAGAGAGAGAGAGAGAGAGAGAGAGAGAGAGAGAGAGAGTGACTCAAAGGGAGGAGAAAATGCCAATAAGAAAATGTGAGAACGAAGAAAAAGTTCGAAAGTGAAAGAATGACAAAACAATTAAAACAATATATGTAAATAATATATCAGCGTAACAATGTATCATCATTTAAAAAAAAGAAGGAATTTTTCTAAGTTTATATGTATAACCAATAAATCGGGAGTGAAAAACATATTTACTAGAAATTACAGCAGTAATTTTCGCTGTGTTAAATATTTGAGTTTAACATAATGTAAATTTTATGTTCTATTACTCACCAATCGGATCAACGTGAGTGACATGATCGACGAAGTCACGCTTTCCTAGGTATACAGTGATCTGAAAAATAAAGTTTATAATAGTGACAAATTGTTTACAAAATTTTTATGTATAATTTGTATGTATGTATGAATTTTATTGCATATCATTTTTGATTTACAGTATATGCTTACAAATAAGTTGTATTGAGTTGGTTACAGGACATTATTGCACTTTTTCACGTAGACTACATTAAATATAGTATCAGACAGTTCAAGTTTTCGTCTTCGGGAGAATGGGACTATAACAGACTCTGCTTCTGAAATATCCCACTACGTTCGGCTCATACGCCGCTGCTCTCTAACCACTTGAGCTATCATGCCTTCAAACACTAATACGTGAAGTCACCGTGAGCCGAAGGTCGTGGTTTCGAATCCCGTTCGTGACATTAACTTTTTCAACTCAACCAAGACCTTAGATAAAAAGAATAATTAATTGAAATATCTAATATGGTCAATTATGACCGCTAAACATGTATGGGTTTCGATCTTTACTGAGATCATCTTCAGGGCAAGGGATTTATACACTTTGTTTAATTATACAAATACATATAAGATTTGACTATGAATTATCCAATGATGTACACAATATAGAAATTTTAGGTTTATTCAAAGAATTAGTACTTACTCAAAGTGTGTGTTTTCTGTGTATGTGCCATTGTTGGGTGTCGTTTGGAGGGTGTTAGTGAGATATTAATTTTTTTGTTTTATTTTGAAGGAGTGGGGAATGATGTAGGCGTAGAAATTCATTTTTCTATGAGGAATCGGCTTCTTTGAGGAGAAAGGGACGGACAATGGGAAAAAAGGGGAAATGGTTTGTCGTTCGGCCCTCCTTTCAGGATTACTATTGGAATTGTTGGATATTTAGACTATGTAAAATTGTTTGATGTGTGGAGTGTAATGATTGTTTTATATGTTGTATTATATGTTTTGTGTTATATCTATGTTATTAATGTTGGATTTGATTCATAGTCATATCTTATATGTACTTGTGTAATTTGAACAATGTTTGTAAATCCCAGGCACTGAATATGATCTCAATAAAGATCGAAACGTTGACAAGATAAAGAAAGTATTTTTCTAAACCTACATCACACCAGACCGCATCTCACGATTTCTACATAATTAAACATAAAATAGATAAGGGAATAATTTATTTTTTAAAAACGCTTTTTAAAAACCGGGTAAAGGCTCCTTAAGATGGTCCCTGCTTTTGAGCGTTTTTGTAAGATGATAATTTTATTAAGTCTGGGATCCAGATTCCAAGGTCCATTGAATTAGCCCCATGGTATTGGCGGATTATTTATTTTGACAAGTGGTTGTCTGTGTTTGAGTAAACATTATTGCCTCAGTCTGCTAGTTTTAGGTCTAATTCTCCATTTTTCAAATTATTCAACGTATGTACTACTACTAATACTAATAATTCTCAGGTGAAAGAATAACTCTAAAGGAGGCACTTATAAAGGCCGTATAATGAGCAACGAGAGCCAGTTCTGCTAAGTTTTTAGTTTGCAAAGGTCATTTATAAAGACGTTAAATAAGGTTGGTACAAGAACAGCCCCTTGGAGTACCCTAGATTCTGTAACCTTGCCAGCAATTTGTACAAAGAATTGCCTGTAGGTTAGGTAATTAATTACTAATTATTTGTTAGGTAGATAGGAAATTGATAGGACGTGTAAAATGTATAATTGTTTATAAGGAATTTCTATAAGTTGCTAATTCTATAATTTTAATTAATCGTTTATTCAATGCATCCTCCCCGATCCTTCATTTCCATATCTCGACTGGATTACACACTATAATGCATTTCTTAATCCATATCACAAGTAGATCTAATATTATTCCTCGGTTTGAATTTCAATGATCTACTTTATTACGGGCCTGTATTTTTTTTTTGTTAATATAAATTAACCACGCCCAATGTTTATAAGTACGGACGCGTAGTTACTTTAATTTTAGCAAAGGTCGGTAAACACCTTTGAATTTAGTCACAATGAGCAATTTACATGGGAGGTCAGTGTTGGAGCTTTTTTGCCCTCACCTTTTGAATTTGGAGGACAACTACGTTTAACACCGGTTAAAGCTTCGAACAAAATACTTTTTAAGAAAGATTTTTGACCTGAGATGAATATAAAAACGGTTAATTTTAAATAAATAACAGTTCTTGAATGACGAAATTATACTTTTCCCAAGAGACAGATAGATAAAAAGAACACAAGCGATTAAATTTCAAAATAAATATTGGGTTTTTCGGAAAATAATACAAGTTTACGGCTATCAAATAAAAACAATAAAATAAATGATTTTAAACATTTTTTATTAATTAAAATACCCTCTATCACTCTCAATGCAGTGCTTCTTATGATGATGGGAATTTCTTTACAGCCTCTGAATAGAATTTTGAGTCTTTGTTATTAACAAATTCTGTAAACGCGATTTTTGATCAATAAATTTTTTTATGTTGTCCAGGTTTCTGAAAAAATGGTAGGCGGTACGGCGAGAGGTCTGGAGAATATGGAGGGTGAGGAAGAACCTCATGACCGAGATCCATCAGTTTTCGTCTTGTCACAAGTGAAACATGAGGCCGAGCGTTGCGTGTATAAAAATCGGCCATTTCCGACTGACAAAAGTCGGCTTCAATAATGCCAACTTCTGGTGCTTTGCTTTAATTCGAGAGCAATACATTTCGGCATTGACTGTTTCGCCAGGATTCAAGAAGATGCAGTACATCAGCCCAAATGAAGTCTACCATCATTTTTTTTTATGAGTTGGGGCTTTGGGAAATGAGGTACTGTTCTCCTTTGTCCAGCCACTGTCCAGAACGTCTTAGGCATGTCCTTTTCCCCGGCATTGTAAGAAACTCTTTTGGTTGCAAGGGAGGTTTTCAGGCACAAAATAATGATGTAGCCTTGAGAGCGTGACGCATTCTCTATAGCACAAGCTCTATTCGTGTTTCCCTGCGTGCATGAGCTCCTTAAGCATCCTCCGCGGCATGTGGAAGATCGGACGAAGGAATCGTACAGCATGCGAGGATGCGAAGACTACGCCTCGAATACGTAAGGGAGTTGTTGGCTTTGGAGCCTGCTGCGGACGGATCAGTGGCACAGAGGAGTTAGGGTACCAGATCCTGTCTGTAATGACGGGGAGGGTGCTTAACCAACTGAACTGTGGGGTAGAGCAACAATATTCCAAGTTCCAAGTCTCGTAGCGAGCTACATTGGAATGGAATCGTAGGTGAAACCCCTGGCAGGCCCTTTCAGAAGAGCCTGTCGTTCGGTGGTGCCTGCATAGGCTACTTTTAACCAAGGAGTGGTTTGGAATTCAACTATAAAGAAAACCGCAGCCGGAGTGGATCCGGTAGTTCCGAAGCTAGTGGGAGCCCCACACTCAGGAAGGTTGAGTTGTCCCTACTAAATAATATAGCATGGTTAATCAGCTGATGATTTCAGCAGCAAGTGAAACCCATTTTAAACTACCCAACCTGTCTGAGTGGTGCAGTGGCTTCTACACCAAGCTTCACAGGATGAACAATGACACTTGTGAGCGGAGGCGTGTGTCGCTCCTTTCTTCAGAATCTAAACGAGTGATAAGGCCATGTGCCAGGTGCGCACGTTAAAGAACCTCGTTGTCCTTCTGATGTTATTGGGACCACAAATGGAAAATATATATGTCCAGAACGTCTGCTGTTATCCTAAAGAATCCACTTTTCATCACAAGTAACAATTATATCCCGAAAAAGTTCGTTTCTGTTTCGGCATGATTTTTCTGGCGTGAGGAACTTTTCGAACTTTTTCACCATTCCAATGGCCTTAAGGTGGTCAGCGACAGCCGAGTTGCTAACTGACGTTGGCTTGACTTAAGTTCTCGAACAGTCGTTCTGGGATTTTCTTCGACAAAAGCTCGCAGAACATCTAGGGAGGAAATCCTTCCACGACCTTCTTTGTCTTCAACGCTAAAGACTCCCCTCGAAAGTTTTTATAAACCATCTCTGAACGGTGCTCTCACTAATACTGCCCCAGATGTCATTAATGTTTTTAATGTTGCTCGGGCACCGTTCCGACCGCGTTTACTCTCGTAAAACAAAATTCGCGAAAATCACGCGTTGACATCTTACTAAAGACTGAATTATTCTCAAGTAACGTAATGCTATTGAGGTAAAAAAAAAACATTTTTGTTTGGAAAAGGATTAAAAAGAGTTGTCATTCATACAAAAGCTAATCTATCAAACGTAAACAGTTTACTATATAGAAGGGTAATTGAAAGAAAACATGAAAACCTGCTTTATTTTCCGGACAACCCACAAGTGCAGTAAAAATAATTGTTCATTTAGCTTTTTGAGAATAATAGATAGAAACAAATAAAATTCAATTATCAAATATTTTTCCCTCTGAAAGGAAATCACAAATTGAAGTGGCTTAAAATTCTACTTCATGAAACAGCAGAAAGTGTCCGGACTGCTAATATAACCGTATTCCTTCAGATAAGAGGCTAAATTTGTATGGGATATGACGTTTATCTTTGTTATTTTATATGTGAGAGCCTTGAATTATTTTCGACGTCAACTCGTCGACGACAGCAGTTGTTCTTCCATAGTAAAATTCCATTTGTGAAGTTGGCAGAAGTTCACCTGCATCTACACCATGTTAAGTAAATAAAGATTGTTGTAAGCTCATAAAAGTTGTCTTTCGTGCTTAGCGCGACTGCCACTCAAATATCTAGGCATCAAAAATTCCTTTTGATACTTTCTGGTTGCCGTCGGTCTTATATTATTATAAGATATTATTTATCTCAAAGAGAAGCATATAAATGTTAGCAAGTCTTTAAAACACCTGACGAAATACATTTATATAATAGCTCACCAAAGCTTATTTATTTATAAACGAATAAAATAATTATTCAGATATCGGTCACCAGATCGCATCTCACGATTTCTGAATAATTATCGATTAACGGTCACTAATTACCACACAGAATAAAATAATTTTGTAATATGGCTAAACCTTGAAGGTGATCTATTTCGTT